CCGATGCTTAAATTTTTGGATGTTTTTCGCAGTTTCTCATTGAAAATGATGGAAATCTTCAGTTCTTGTTTTAGAATGATTATTTGAAATGTTTGCAAATAAAAATGATGGCAATGGTGTAAACTTCTCAAGTCGACTAATGCATTTTTGAATTCCATCGGAAATCGGGCTTAATTCGACAATTTCGAAGAGGATCCGCGCCGAAAATCGCTGTAATCCTTCGTAGCGGAATCCAGTCGGAAGTCCTCAGATCTCATATACGAGAATTTTCGACACTAGAACGTGCTCTACGGAAAATGTCGAAAACCAACGGTATTCCACAGAGTTCTACTAGACTCTGGATATTACAGCTTTTCTGACTCCACTTCCTACTCTATTCCTCGAATACTCTGATCTGTCTATTGTTAGTTTACATTCAGTTCGTTGTCGCCCTTTATTGAACGAAAAAATTAAAAATTAAAAACCTAAAAAAGAAATATAATAGAGTAGAGTGTGGGTGTGGGTGGGTGTGGGGGAGGGGGTGGGTGTAGGTGTGGGTGTAGGTGTGGGTGTGGGTGTAGATGTGCTTGAAGGGAATAGCTATGCTCACACCCACACCCGCTAACAGCAAGAGCAAGAATATTTTTGTTTGAAAAGATAAGATAAATCTGGAAAATATTAGGTGATACAATCATGTTCGTATATGTTTCTTTATTTAAAACGAATCAAAATGTATAATATCGAAAGAGAACAAAAATCTTTTGTTCTTTATTATAGTTTTATTAAGAAGCGATCATGATTTGATCTTTGTATTGATATTACTTTTAAGACAATCTGATATATTTGTAATGAATTAATTCTTCGGAAAAATTAATTTTAGTAGTGTTTGAATACATAAATCAATTTTATTACAGTAAGAATATTTACTTAAACGGATTAATTCTTCTTGTCCATAAACATAAAATTTATCATTCATTAAAACGATAATTATATCATCTTAATAATTTGCAACTATTCATCGATACTATTCATTGAATCTTTTCAAGTAAAGAGAAAATCCGCTGAAAAATGTGTTTAATTTTTACTTAAGTAAAATTATTTGTTTTTTTTAAATGAAATCTAAGAAAAGACTTTTTATTTATAGAATTTTATCGATATTTCCTTTTATGTCGTTGAAGATATAGCTTCGTCAAATTCAGAAATATCAAAAAGAAATTTTCCAACTATTCGTGGATTACCTCAATCAATAGAAAAAAAATCTTTTCAAAGTAGCACAAATGATTGAAATAATACGAAGATTGAACTATTTTACCTATAAGGTAAGTTAACCTAGTTTTATTTTTCTTGACTTATTGGAAAAAAAATTCATAGTGATTCTATTTTTCAACAGAAGATAATTTTCTATAATTGATATTTCACTTTTTCCAACAGAAAGATTGAAGAACTTATTTGATCATGTCTCTGATGTATAGAAGAATACTTGACTTTCAAAGTTAATCGAACAGAATCAGGTAAATTGATTTGGTTCTAGCTACAGCCTATCTGTATACAAATTTTCGAGTCGAAATATGAAAGTTTTTTTTGTGACCACAGCATTCATTTGAAAATATCGTGCAATTATTACGTCTCCACATAAATAACTCAATGGTCTTTAGAATTAAAGAAACGTTGAAGTATAGAGTAAAAGATTGGAACCCCGCACAGATTGTATTATATCACAAATATCTCGTTAGTGTGCCCTAAAATCGATTGCATTAACAGCTTTCTCTGAACTCCTCTTATATAAATTATTTAGATGTCTTCTCTTATTAATTTAGTTTTTAATAAATTTTCATCAACCAGTAATTGTTTCAATATCGTCTACTGAAACGACATCTCCAAATGTTTCTTCACAAGTATCATTAAATAATTCTTTAATTAATATTCACACAATATTCGACAGCCGATCGTTTATTTATTTGGTTCACCTCAAGCATATTAGTTTGTAGTTTTCATTTAACTAAAAATTAGTCTTAAGGGTGTGACTTTTAATTTGTACTAATTATAGTTTATTAGATGTTGATTAAGTTCGTTGTATTTCTAATATTTATTACTTGATTTTATAATCTTTCATTTATTTTTTTTTTTTTGAAAGAGGAATTTCTTACTCATATGATCAATTAAGTTGATAAGGTTGAAGAAATGATTGTAGATTATGATGCATCATCACCTTTTTATCATATCTCAATTTATTTTGATATAATGCAAAATCATATTGAATTAATATGTCAATTTTTAACAGATGATACACGTCATTTATTACGTTTTATCATACTTATATCAATATATTTTAAAACAAAATCTTTTCTTAATCTTTATCAAAAACATGATTTAACTATATCAAATAAACAAATAAATCAATTATTACTTATACCATCTTATGATTTTGATTGTCTTTATTATTTAACAAAAAATAAAAGAAAATATATACTATATATTTATTGATATGATTCATATTGTATCGTTATATTATTAATTTGTCTACTAATATTTAAGTCATTGATGTGTATGCCAAGAGAATTTTTGGGTAAATATCATCAAGATATCCATAAATTACAATATACGATTTAAATGATTACTGTCTATCATCATTTCCTGTTGATTTCTTATAACATTTGGATATAATCACTGATTATATTGGACATATATCATTTGTTTTTGTTTTCGTTGGTTATGAAGGTTATTATGTCAAGGAACATGGATTTCATTTTTAGTTTCAATTAATCCAACAAATCAATCTAATCATGAACATGAACAAAAAAAGAAATAATTGAACAAAAGAATAAATTTTAGAAACAAATAGAACACAATGGGTAATACGATTAAAAAAGAAAAACTAGATTTTATCTACTTTTTTTTTCTCTGCATAGTGATTTATTATCGTATGGACAACTTCCATCTGATATTATATGAGCGTCAATTCAAAGTAATGACTGGTATAAAAGCCTTAGCATAAATGTGCAGCTTCACTGTTAACTCCCATAAGGTGCTAGAGACTTGATTTATTCACCGTTGGATTGAGCAGAGTCTGTAGACTAGAAATACATTTCTTTTTAAAAAATGTTGACCTTTTGAAGCGCCGAAATTTTCGAAACGTGAAAGGCACCAAAAACGGCTTGTAACTTTCAAGCGTTTTCTTGCCAATTACTTTTTCTTAATCAACAGATCTCACTTAAACTTGAATGGAACTCGGCCTAACTTTCAGGTTAGAAGTAACTTAGTGTCACTATTCCAATAACTTGGATTCAATTTAGTTCGTCTTTATGAAAAGACTTTGGCGGCCCTTTATTAAAAGGGAGGACAATTTTTTCATGCCTCCTGTTTAAATGAGGTTGCGTCTCGACTTATTCACGAAATTTGAGTTTGAGGAGTTGATTGGATGCAGATTTTCCTGCTCGTTCAGAATAGCAATCTCAAACCCGGCTTGCGGAAAATCTTGAATCTAAAATCTTTTCATTACAAAAACGGTGAAACGAGTTGCTTACTAACATTTTACACTATTTTAAATTTGGGCCTTAACTTCGGCAAACAAGGTGCGTTTGAGCTCAAAACATTTTTTTAGACGTGCCATCAGTGCAGTCAACCAAACCACAGTAAAATTTTTCCCGAAAGTCACGAATTGTGAAAATTGCAAACGAAACTTCAAAAAGTTTGAATGTTTGCGAGCAGCTTTTGGCGCCTTTCGTGTTTCGAAAATTTTGGCACTTGAAAAGGTTAAATTTTCTTTCGAAGAAATTCATTTCTAGTCTCCAGACTCTGTTCTATCCGATACTTAAAGAATCAAGTATCTAGCACCTTATGAAAACTCACAGTAAAGCCTGACATTTGCGCCAAGACATTTACATCAGTCCTTAATAATACAATTCTATTACTAGTTAATGTAAGTTCATATAGATCTTATTCATTCACAATTAGAGAGCTTATATTTTTCTTAATATTGAAAATTCAACATGAGTGTAAAAAAGGAGGTTATCGGAACAGTTTTAAACTTTATTATAAATGAGTCTAGGTTGAAAGAAAGACAAATTCATTTCATTGAGCTTCTATTTCATCTAGATAAACGATTATATCAATAGTTTCAAACACATCCTCATTACTTATTGTATTCTGATAATAAATTCTAAAATATGAGAAAGATTTTTTATTAATTAAAAAGTTACTGTATGAATGTTTTCTTCCCTATCTGTCACCTTTACAGATTCTAATTGAGCAATGTTCGTTGGTCAACAGCAAATTCAAATAATTTATGTCTTTGATTAAAATATGAACTAATTATACATTCTGATTTACATAAAACATTAACACACTTACCGAGTTTTCATAATTTATTTGATGAATATTTTTGAAATTGAGTTGATAATATCATTTAAAGATTATGGTTTATGTAAATTTCTTATATTATTTCAACAAACAACAAAAAAATATAATGAATTATAAATACATTTTATTGAATGTAATTTTAAATTAATAACAAAAACTCGTGCATATACATTATATTTACTGTTACTTGAAACTCATGAAGATGATTTAAATAAATTATTAATATCAATTATAATAGAAGAATAAAATAATGTTATACAAAATAATACATCAATTAAACATAAAAAATTATATGAATTGACGTTGAAAGACATTTAATACTTGGTCAATGATCTAAAAATGATATATGCTGTTTATATAAACAATACGTCAATCATCACAATTAATAATCGAATTCAAGCTTTTGGAGGTTAAGCTTGATCAAATTCGAACTTTTAGTGTTTGAGCTCGATTGAGTTCGAGTATGTATATTCGAGTTCGAACTCAATCGAGCTTCAAGCTCGAATCGGGCTTTCTAGTCGAGCCCGATATATTCTAGCTCAAACAATTTGAATTTGTTGGAATTAGTGTAATCTTCTGCAGCTAACTAAATCTGATTGAGACCTAATCCGTGTGGTGTAGGGGGTCTGGTAAAATATGGGCGAATATGGTGCTAACTTTTGCGATGTGAATCGTTATTCTATATGACGAATAGAAAGATCAAGTTACTCCACCAGCAACAATAGCTTAAATCATCACAATAGCATTAAGGCATAAAGGGTCCGTCTGATATGTAAAATATTTATAATATTTATCAGCACGAGAGAAATGGAAGAAAAAACGAATTGATCCACGATGAGATTGAAAGCTAGTTGTAGGGTGACGGTAGAAGATGATAAGGAAACCCTGCCCATGTGATACAAGCCTCTCCCGTATTAGAACCCCTCCTGTAGTTTTAGAATCTCCCGAGCATCTATTGCGTCCGAGTTTTTAAATTGTTGTTAAAAATAGGGCTTCCTTCTGAGCGGTCGTACTTTACATCGGAAAACGTTTTGTACATGTGAAAATGTTCCAGAAGACTTCGAACATTGTGCTTATGAATGCTGTCAGCGGTCGAGAACAGGTATTGTATTAAAAATTGACTTACATTTGTGTTTCATTTTCTTTCTTTTCATGTATCCGACGAAATGTTTGTGATGTAAAATATTTCAATCTGTGAATGCTGTATTGAACAATTGCCAATGTATATGATGGAACTATTGATTGAGCCTATTATAGAACAAAATTAATACAAGCCAATTAATATTTCGTGTACGTCAACGTTTTATGGCATAATCTTGTTAGATAGACATGAAAAGAACGAATAGACTAGAGAAACAAGTATACATGTATACATGTATATAAATATATGTAGACGCAATCGCTGGAGTGGCACTTATTTTTAATTTCTCATTGTTAAATCATTATTGGATTGATAATGTACGATGTTGAAGAAATTGAAGAACATCTTACACTTATATCAGGTGTTGATACAAGTTCAATTTCGGAGAAATCCGATTTCGATGACGATTCATATGTTGAAATTACTTTCAATATCGATGGAAATGAAAATGAATTAGTGAAATGGACAAATTATCTACAACTGAATTCAAATAGCAATGAAGATAGTGATCAAGATTATCTGGTAATGTTTTTTTACTTCATTATTTTTTTCTTCTTAATTTATTATTTATAATGGTATCTTGTCTTTTTTATCTCTATATAAAGTCTCACAGAAAGTTGTAAGATAATGTGAACTTATCAAAAACAAAATAGTGAAGGTCATTGAAAAAATACTCACTGATACTTTTTGAAATATATGGATAAAAGTCATATTAGTAGTTGCCCCATAATAGAAGCCTCCTTCAAAAACTTTGAATGGTAGACAGTTTAGAAGTCCTCGGGAGCTTCTATTATCGGAGAACGAGAGGATGGGTAGTTCATATTTCCTACCAGCTTCACCCTATTGCCATTCCACTATGATATGATTGATATTAAAAAGAAAAGAGAAAGAAATTTACATAAAAAATATATACTTTCCTATGCAATGTCTCAAGAAGACTCTTTACATTGTCGAATACGCCACGTAATTATTTTATTTCAATTATTATTTAAATATTATGACAAATTGAAACCAATTGTGTTTATTTCATTTTAATTTTTGAATAAAGGTTTACAAAACATAAATAAATACATAGCAAGATGGATTATCATGGTCAATAAAATCAAGGTAAAATTTTAAACGAAAAACAACAAATAATATTTTGACAGTATTCTCATGATTATTTTGTGCATATTGATGTGCATATTCTTTTGCGTATTAGTATTGTATAGCTGTGCGAAGGACGAATGATAGAACAAGCAAAACAAAGGTAAAATTGCCAATCGAAAAAAACAAGATATGTTTTGACAATATCTTCATTATGGATTTGTGCATATTGAGATGCATATTTTCTTTGTGTATTAGTATCGTTTACATGTGCGAAAAAAGAATTGAAGAACGAGCAAAACAAATGTTAAATTTCGAAGCAAAAATAAAAAGATATGCTTTGATAGTATCCTCATGATTTTTCGAGATACGGTTCGATGCACGAAGCAAAATGTGTTTTTTTTTCAAATTGTATTTAAGCAGCATTATGCATTAGTTTGAAGCACAGAACAACGTCGACACAATTTAGTGATAGTATCGTCGTGCACAGACAGTCTCCTCGATTAGTTCAACAATCAAATGTATGTATTTGACAAACTTTAATTTCTATATATGATCTTTTTTGTAAACAGTATGAAAGAAAGTTTTCTGCGCTCAAGTATTAAAATTCATTTATATTCTTTAAAATTACATTTCCATGGGTTCAAGTCGTGAACAATTGCAGTGCATCACAATTTAAACGCATTTAAATTCAATATAAATGCACTTCAGTCCTACTCTAATCGCTTCGAACGCGATGTAAAGATACATAAATCGATTCAATACGTTGATTTGCGACATAAATGGGTGAAAATTTGTTTAAATGAGTGTAGGTCCGATGTATATTGATTGAATCTGTATTAGAACCCAATCATATTGAATTTCAATCCATTTAGGCACACTGTTAACTTATTTATAT